AACATACAACAATTCACACAGTGATAAAAATGTACAAGTAATGATAAGATAGTATAAATGGTATGACCTGGGTTTGACTGACCCAGTGATTTGACTTACTTACATATTGCGACATAAAGATAAATTCCTTTGAAGTTTATATCTTCAATAGAAGGCTTGGAACTCACAGTCGTTGCTTCAGGAACATGTAGCGTTCGTGGCAATGGCCGCGTTCGTGCTCTATATAAACGGCCCTTAAAGGGTCATTTGTACTGAGCGCAAAAGCGACCAGTGTGAATTTGCACGCTAACCATCGCTCGTGTCGATACACGCGGAAATGTGTCTTTTGACCCGGTGTCTCCAGCATGCAAAGTCACCGGCTCACGGGAAATTTGATTTGTTAATCTGTTTAATCGGTCACCAAAAGTTAATCGAGTTTATCAATATTTCAAAAGGAAGACTGGAACCATCGGTTAATCTAGCATTTATTACTTTTGGAGCAAATAGAATAGATGATAATATGGTTTGTGAGAAAGCTGAGTTCGCGCAAGCCATACAACCAATTAAGTGCTTGTCCACGAGAAAACCATGCAAAATCGGGAAGGTGATGGGTCGGCCGATTCCGTTCATATTCATAGGGTTTGGTCAGCCAAAACCGCTGATCTCAGAAATTGACCCTAGCCGAGATACGGCAAACAGGTGTTTTTTGGGGCTTTTTGCTCATTTTTTCCTCAATTTTAGGCAATGTTAGCTGCTGTTTTTCAGGTTGTAAATGAGTACTTATAAAACGAATGATGATTCGATATATTAGGCTAGCTAGTAATGTTTCAAAAAAATGAAGAAAGAAAAATCTATCTTTCCACTGAGGGGTGCCATTTGGTTATTCCTGAAGTGTATAAATCAAACCTTATAAAGAACCCTAACTTTATGCCGCGATATCTCCACTGCCGCGGGGTCCCATGAATTCTTTTTGTGGTTGTTAGTAACTGGGTATCAGGTCTCTCGATTAAAAAAATAAAATTTTATATATGTCTATAACTACACTCTCAAACATAGTGGGTAATTTTGACAAAAATCGGATAAATTCGACAATTTTACGAAGCTTTATCCCCAATATTATCAAACTGATATTCAAACAAATGTAGTATAATACAGACGCCTTCACAGCTGCTATGTTTTCGCAACATAATGTTCGTATGACAACTCTTACTGCAACTGGAAGTGAAAATTTGCTAAAATTCGCATTATTTCACTCTTAAATCTCTTGATATGTACAGATCTCATTATAAGCTGCAGTTGAGAGAACTGTCATAGCCCACAGTAGTCATGGAATAGTAAAATGTAGGCCTAAATCCTCAAGATTGGAAAATAAATTCTACACTCTAAAAAGTTTCAGGTCAGCACGACTAAAAAGGCAAGATTTTGTCTTTTCTTTCAATTTTCAGGACCGATGTTATCTTTACCTCTACCCGCGACCAACGAGTTAATCATCTATATTTAGACTATACCCTACCTACAAGTAGTAGTCCTACACTCTTAAAGTACGGTGATCATCATCTTCACAAAAAGCCCCAAAAATAAACAAAAAACTTTTTTTTTTCAATTGGCTTAATGTAGCAATAGGTGTACGTATATATCAGAATATCGAACAGCAACTATTGGTACTAGTAGAGATTAGTTTTATACATGTTGGTCTAACTCATAACATTTTTTTAACTTGTACGTAAAGAAGAAAGCGCAGATTGCTCTCTGAGGTAAGAATATACAATCGCAGATTAAATACTAAATTGGGCAATGCCCGTAATTGACCTGGTGAGTCAATCCTTAATCCTCACAAAATATCAAATATATACAAAATTTACTTTCGGGAGGGAATACTAATCCTTACAAAATATCACATCTAATTACATTCATGAACCCTCACAAAATATCAAATGTAATACAAAAACTACGTTCATAATGTTTCACAATATATCATCAGGACGGTGTTATAATCATTGACAAATAGTAAATATCAGCAGAACGGTGTTATAATCATTGACAAATAGTAAATATCATCAGGACGGTGTTATAATCATTGACAAATAGTAAATATCAGAGGGACGATGTTACTATCATTGAAAAATAGTAAATATCAGCGGGACGATGTTACTATCATTGAAAAATAGGAAATATGAACAAGACGGTGTCATTGAAAAAAAGTAAATATCATCAGGACGGTGTTATAATCATTGACAAATAGTAAATATCAGTAGAACGGTGTTACTATCATTGAAAAATAGTAAATATCAGCGGGACGATGTTACTATCATTGAAAAATAGTAAATATGAGCAGGACGATGTTACTATCATTGATAAATAGTAAATATCAATGAAACGCTCCCTCAGATATCAATCTTAGTATTTAGCGTCCGCATAATAAATCCACTGCTACCAATGATAGATACCCTCTGATGTATTTAGTACACTCTTTCAATAAAACATGCTCAATCTCTTTAGGATACACAGTGAAAACGCCGCATTTTGAAGTTGAAAACTGCGAAAAACCACATACATCAGCCACCATCTTGGATGGCTGGATACCAGAACTGATAGTTTTGACAGAGCGGGTTCTACGACTGCCTGAGCGGGTTCGAAACGCTAGTCTGTCAATTGCCGATGGTATCGAGTCGTTTAGCGTCCATATTTTGTCACTATATTGATTAGAACATATAAAAATCAGATGATCCAATATCAAAATTGTCAAAAAATGAAATGAAATGGAGTTTAACGTCCTACTTCAAAATTGTCAAAACTTAGACAATGTTATCGCACACGCGTATGAAGATATATGAAATTTTATTTTTTAATCGAGAGACCTTGTACCCGTTTACTAACAACCACAAAAATAATTCATGGGACGCCGCGGCACTGGAGATATCGGGGCATAAAGTTGGGTACTTTATAGGGTTCGATTTATACCCTTCAGGAATAACCAAATGGCACCCCTCAGTGGAAAGATAGATTTTTCTTTTTTCATTTTTTTGAAACATTACTACTTAGCCTAATATATCGAAGTATCATTTGTTTCATAAGTACTCATTTACAACCTGAAAAACAGCAGCTAACATTGCCTAAAATTGACGATAAAATGAGCAAAAAGCCCCAAAAAACACCTGTTTGCCGTATCTCAGCTATGGTCAATTTCTGAGATCGGCGGTTTTGGTTATCGAGAAGTCTCATGGGCATGACCAAACCCTGTGAATATGAATGGAATCGGCCGACCCCTCACCTACCCGATTTCTGCATGGTTTTCTCGTGGACTGGCACTTAAATGTATATTGATATCTTTGTTTCTTATAGATATTAGCAGCTGCAGATCTTTTGTTCCTGAAATCGATAACATAAATATCACCAATGTATATGCTGCCCATTCCATTTCTAGCAGTCATTAAGTAGGCCTACTCAGTAATTAGGTCAAACCAATTTATTTTCAGTTTTCTAGGTCTTGATAAATAAATAGCCACTTGAATCACACCAAAGATGTTTAGTCTAAAATCTGGACTAAAGATATGTCGTACATACCCCGGATACAGCTAGATTCGATTTTGGTAGGCAAAGGACCGCAACTCCTTTGGTTATGGCCCACTATCTTTTACGAATAATTGTGAAATATGTTTGTTCAGATTCAGATGAAACTTATGATATATGTTAAAGATCAAACGGTTTGGGTCTGCATCAGACCGCAATTTCCTTCGTTATGACGCTTGCCCTTTTCGCAAAATGTGAACTATATGTTCAGTCTGTGGACCCTCTGGAGCTCACAATTGGTATTACGATGCAGATGAAACTTAACAGATATGTTAAGAATCGAACTTGGGGGCGAGTTCGATTTTGGTCTGCATCAGACCGCAACTTCTTCGGTTATGGCCTTTGTCGTTTACTCAAAATGTGAAATGTACAAAGTTTGTGGACACTCTTAAAGCCCTCATTTTTTGTCTGATTTAGATGAAACTTAAAATATATGTGAAGGGTCAATAAAATAGAACAATTTGGTGTGACTTTATCTCCAAAAATATTTCGTTGTGTGAAAGTAACAATCTTGAAAATGACCGGCATCTTGAATTTTCGAGTGGTTAATGGGCTTTTCCAAAACAATAGTCCTCAAGAAGTATCTGTCTTTGCTAATATTGTTACTCGTATCCACATTTGATATCCCGTTTTTGCAGTTTAGCTGCTGTACTATATTTGAAGTTTAGACTTTATTAGAGCCGGCATTCTCAGCAGAGTTGTCTTATTGACCCAGATGGACATCACCTGGAGATATTGTTTACTGGTACGATTACTACGATCTAGCTTTATCCATTAATAAATAAACCCAAATAATTTCAATTATGCATTAAACAAAGGCCTGTATTCTAGTCTCGGTCATTTTGGTGCAGAAAAATAAGACATTAAACCCCTTTTAACTCAAAGTGCATTATTGGGTAAAAGCTCATTCGACAACACCATCTTAGAGTGAGTGACCTTTCATAAGTTGGACACAGTGAACTGTGAAACAAATGCAATCATTTCCTAAAATCACTACTAATTTGATTTCCCAAATTATTCAAACCACTTGTTGTTCAGCAATAAACTAAATCCAATGGAACCCCCATCAATTATTACATACGACTCGATGAGCAGTATCAGAGTTCAAGAAGGGGCTGTAAAAGTATGATTTTTGATATATTTCAACCAAAATCTAGATTCTCACCAGATTCTGAATCCAGTTTGTTTGTTTCCTAAAGATTTTTAAATCCAAATCCATGAGCACGAATCTTAAAATCTACCTGATGTTGTGAATGGGTAAAAATTTTTGACTTGTAACTCAAATCTGAAAGAGAATCTAGATTTGGTTTATTGGCAATCAGTCAGACCTTATGCCGATTTTTTATACTATGTAGCAAGCTAATTATTTCGTACAAACCCTTGCTGGATGCAATTGGGAATTGAATGACAATGACCCAGTAGCAAATCTTAAATCAATAATCATAAACATATTAATATTTAAAGAAAATATTTAATAATCATTTTGTGTCAATGGAACAGTGTTGGTATCATTAACAATGATGATGATGATTCAAGTCGTCTTTGTTGTCCTGCATTAATTATAAATAAATTGATGAGACACAGTAAAGATGATAAGTCCCTGAAAATCTGGAACTGTAATGGATATTATTCTTTATAATTTAATGAATGGAATCTAAGGAGATTATTTATATCATGTGTTGTTTGTTCACTGGGTTTAAGAGTCCATGACTTCAGGACCACCGACAGTAGGATCTGCTGGACCAGCTGCTGGAGTATCATCATCTTGTGCTTCCATAGATTCCTAAAATAATTATATTATGTTGGTTAAAATAAAGTAATGGCAAAGTATTCTATTCTTATTAATTACCTAATCTATTTTTAATTTCTTCGTCAAATGGTTTACTTTAAATTGCATCACATGCTATTATCGATCCAAATAAATAACTGCTGGAATAAAATTGTTCCTCAGGCTGAAGACAAAGCTGTAGAATATGTATTTCCCGAAATTCACCAGGTTACTTTTCTATTTACACGAGCTATTACACAAATAAACTAAAAATGGCAATTTCTTTATAGAACTCAATGTATATTTGAGTAGGCTTAACCACATAATACTACTTCACTATTAGGAAATCTATTATTTTGATAAACATGTATCCCACTCTTAAGGTAGAGTCACACTACTGGATTGATCATTTGAAATAAATCCTAGCAAAACTCTTAATAAGTAAGTCCTGTAGATTATGATTCTCAGCTTGTAGGATACATCATACATGAATAGGACTTGTTATATACTCTAGTATAAATCTTTAGACCAAAATATCTGCAATCTATAGGAGACATTTTACTGTTCTCATAAAAGGGATTTGTTCTATGATATAAAACCTGAACATAAATCCACAATTGTAGGAAGTCCAATGACTATTGTCTTGATTTCTCTGCAGTTAGCCACTTAGTTAGCCATTATTAATTCATCTTCATTTTTTACACAGGCTTTTACCCATTATATATCATTAACGTGGTTCGAGAGAACATACCCAGTATTTAAAAATATAGAATATGTCATTTATGTCAATAAAATGTTGAGTGGTCTATGTTAATATATTTTTAGATAAATCATCCATAACTTACTGCAGGTTCATCTGCTGGAGGGGGATGGGCACGTTCTTCTCCTTCAATCATTGCTAACTAATAACAAGTTAAGGAAACTAAATAATATTATAGACTTCTCATTTAGCATAAAGATGTATACCCCAAAATCTTAAACTGTTATCAATCTGTATTATAACTAAAAGTATGTCCAATCTGCACATTGTGTAAAAAAATAACACTTAGCCATAGCAGAAAATGCTCATCATCTAACTTAGTCAAAGTATTGATGTAAGAAAGAATACACACAGTTTCACCATTGCCAGTCTCACTCAATTAGATTCAAAGTTATTGTTTCACAAAGCATCAACCAATGATATTGCTTATCTCTGCTTAGTCTAAGCTGAAAATCTGAAAATGCTCACTATCGAACTCTGTCAAGATATTCACCTAATAATCACTTACCCCAATTAATTATTGTGTACCAGATGGAAAGACAGACGGACAACCCATTTTAATTTTCTTTGGGGGGGGGGGGGGAATCAGCTTTCCACAGAAATGAACATCGGACTTGGATCACCATCATCTGGGTTTTTTTTTTAACATGGTTCTGATTTTATATTCTTTTGAATACAGTGCGAACATGCTAACCATTCAGCCATCAAATCCCCGGGTTTTGATAAATTGAACCAGCTCAAAGGTTAACCTTTAAGGGCGGTTAACTAACCCGTCCACCCACACTTTTGCTTGCATCAATTTGAAATAACCAACCCTACATGATTTGATTTGTTAAAAAGGATACATAATCAGTTACTCCATCATCATCATAAATAGTAAAATTCTGATCCTTACCAACTATACCTAATGAACAGTTCTGTAATATATAATACCATTTATATTAATAAATGTAGCAAAACACAACAAATATGAACCGTAATGAATTTGAATGTAATATTATAAAGTTTAGTTTTCATTCTTAGTATGCATTAACATATATTTCATTGACAGGTGCAATCCTAAATACATAACTATGAATCGTTCTTTTTTATATTTACAGCTGTGACACTGGATTTTTCATTAGATTATGTTGGGTTCCTATCAAGGTTTGGACTGTCATGGCTGTGTTGTTAAAACCATTTACAGTTGGAATTCAAAGTCTGAGTAAAAAAAGACAATGCACCAATTGTTCTCCCGTGCATTGCACAAATGAGAAATGAAAATGAAATGAGTTTAATGTCCTCCTGTTTTGCTCCGAACTGGGCTAATGAAGACGAGCATACGCCATACAGTGTGCTACGAGGGAATTTTGCCTGGACAGTGGCACTACGGCCTACTCTTATATCGAATTCCAACTTCAAGGGATCTTTTACGTGCACGCCAATGTCCCATCTGAACGACTAGACAGTTGTCCTTGTTAGGGCCTCCGTCCTGCATCACTGACAAGCAGGAACCACGCCGGAAAATCTTAATTAACTTTCTCGGCCAATGCAGGGATCGACCACCCGACCTCCAGGTTAGCGAGCCAGTGTCTTGCCCATTTAGGCACTGTGACCCCCCCCCCCCCTTGCACAAAAATGAGAATAAATAAAGTATTATATAACTTTACATAATTATACAAGACAGAAGAACTTATTTACCTTTGTAGTTAGTTCTATCTCTGATGGTAATGTATCACGTAGAGAACGTAGAGCATGTTTTACTAAATCATTAAGACTACCTGAAAAGATAAAAATTTTACCATAGAAATGGATTGATATTTCCATAAAATATAAAAAATGTCATCACCATTTCACCATGAAATAAAGACAATAGAAAGTAATATATATTGTGTACTTACTTTCAGGAAATTCATCTAATTTTCTTTCCAGATAGGTTCTAGCCGATTGTGATCGAGCTCCAATTGCCATAGCCTTACAATCATAATAGTTAGCAGATGGACAGGTCTGATATATATGAGGACCCATACTCTAAAATACAGTACACATATATATGAGATAACATTTAAATTTCTAGAGGGCACTGAATATCAAGGGAGACAACTCTTACTTCAAAGTTTCAGGGTGATTTCATTTGTTATCCATTCTGATTAAAACTCAGATCCTGTTTCGTTTCAATTTTTATTGTTCAAAATATTGTTTCCATTTTTATAGTTCAAAATTTGGTTTTACTTTTTTTTACTTCACCAGGATCTGGAATAGTTGTTATATAACCCACATTCTGGTTGATGTGAGGAATTAGCCAATGAAACATGGAAAGTTCTTGTATGACATCATAGGGTCAAAAGCTGTTTTATGACTACTGACACGACCTTCCACTACAACCGGTCAGATCTTCATGTAGTCCAGTCCATCGAAAGTATAAGAAAATGAAACGAAATATAGATCTGTATTTTAATCAGATTGTTTGGTATCTGTATTAATCCAATATTCTAATTTAGTTACGTTTTTATTTCAAAATCCTGAAATAAAAATCCTGTAAAATACTTGCTCCAAAATAAAACAATAATATTTTAAACTATATTAATAGTATAGCACATATAAATTCTATTTTACTTACATCATAGCCAGCCACTAGTAAACCTACACCGAAAGGTCTTCTACCATATCTTTGTGTTGGTATTTGAGATTCTGTTTATATTATTAAGGAATATGTTTGGAACAACAACAATGCTTTCTTTGATTACCTCTAATATTCCACCTTGAGGTGCTTGTCGTATCAATATTTGTTGTCATGCCACTCATATTGTGGGTATTACATGTACAATGTCACCGACGGAAATCTAGTTACACATGTTCAAAAGGTTGAAATAACTAGACCTCTTTGACTTGGGGCAAGAATAAAATTGTTGATTTCATTGGATTTTAGATGTTTATTTGTTTTGTTAGATGACAACTTCAACAGATAAAGCCAGTGTTGAGCTATAACTGTTTTCGTGTTCCATTGTCAACACGAAATTTAAATTAAAACAAGCCAGCAGTGTGGCTGATATCCACCTGAAAAGCTTAGTCTATCTGATGAAAAAAAAAAAATTTATTTAGGAATACTGGTGTAAATGAATTACCATAGACCTCTTCTCAATCGATCATATTTTTTTGTGTTTATGATAAAAAAGATACTTGATCCTAGCATGGCCACAAGTCGTGAAACTGGTAATGGTGTGTCGTAAGCATACCGAGAATTCAAGCATTCCGATCTCATAAAATTACTGAAAAATAAAAACAAAACAATAGTACTGAAACAAGACAAACAAAACAAAAAGAGAACGAATATTCTAACAAAACCTGGTAACAATGGAGTAGACATCGGGAGATGGTTATTGAAAAAAAGTTGAAAATCAATACGATTCTTAATGTCTCTGACAGATGAATTATTGCTTACTCTAGTGTTTTAACAAGAAATATGAATGACACGCCAGTGATGTAGACCGAGGGGCATTATTATGAAAGTTATTGAAAATCACTGAAAATCTAGATGATTCTTCCTTTGAATGGGTTAGTCCAATTCGTGAGAAAGACAATCCATATATATTTCTATTGTGGTGACAAGAAATGTGAATGACACACCGATTGATTAACTTACAAGCGTGATGACAATATACAAACACATTAAATTGTGGGTGTATAAAAATGATAAATACATACCTGAGTGATCTGGCATCAGCTGTTAAACCTGCTATAGAAACACCAACATGATCATCTATAGCTAAAATCTTTTTCTGATGAGAGGATAACTCTGATGGTGCTCTCTAAAATACAACAATAATCATTATCAAATGTTTCAAATAAATTATCATTTTAGTTGCAGTAAATTATGGGCAATAACTTTCACAGAGTCAGAACAAAACAGCTGTATTATATGAGTCTAATTTCAGCTTTATGACATTTTTTTTTTTTTACAGCGAAAAATCTTAAAAAAAAATAAAAAAATTATGTGTTGCTTTCATTAGGCATTTGTTTTGTTATAATTGTCGCCACAAAACATTACTCAATGTTATTATGATTAAGTTCTCACATTTAAAAACCAGGGACATTTTAATGCTTCAGATGAGATTTCTGAAATAATGAAAAAGCCATAATCTACCTTCAATGCAGCTAATACAGCATGAATCTGAAATAATGAAAAAGCCATAATCTACCTTCAATGCAGCTAGTACAGCATGAGTTTTAGATTTAATTCCTACTGCTGCTGAACCTTGTTTAACTGCTTCCATAGCATATTCTAGCTGATGTAATCGACCCTAAAATTGAACAAGGAAACATTTAATCATTTATGTCGAGCAGAGATAAGCTTATACACATGTACATGTAATAATGAATTATAAAGCACAAGCACATTTTCTACTCACAATCGAGCAAACAAAGACTAATTTAAAGTAGCTAAGTCTCTAACTCAATATCATCCAAAATCTTCAACATTGAAAACACTATTTATTTGTCAAATTAAATCAACATTCATGTTGTGATCTTACCGGAAAAAGATGGGCTTTTGTTATCCAATATTTAAGACAAAATAAACATTTTACAATTGGTACACGAATCGTGTACCAAAATGCGCTTCAGCCCCAGTTGTATCAAGAGACTCGAGGGACGAGGCTAGACACATTGCACCAAATCAAACGGCGTATGTAGACTGGAATAACCAGACGCTAGAAATTTGCACTCGCTTGAGACTGCCTGGCTTATTTCGCCGAACATAACTGATTTGAAATTGGAGTAAAAACGGAAACCATTGAATGTAAATCAGTTTATATACATTCATATTACAGTATTATATGCGTTGCGACCCACTTTTGTCAATTTCTAGGTCCCAAATGTTAGCGATTTAGCTCCTTTAAAAGAAATCATAATGTATCAATAAAAAGGGAGAAAGAGAAATGGGGTTTAATTTCCATTCATACAAACTAGGTCGTTTTGGGACTTACATACATGTATGGTTCAATTCTATTTCAATAAGTCTCTTGTGCATAGGAGAGGAAACCGGAGGACCCAAAGAAAACCCACAAGGTTGGACAGCCGACCATAACTCTTGTCACATACAAGGGGGTGGGGTCGCTCGAAACCACACCACTTAACTCAATGACAGACCTTATCATCCAGTTCACACACACCGTCAACATTCAGCAACCCAACTCCCCGTATCAACAAAAATGATTGAAACCCGTTTTCAATGTTTGTTTTATGATCCTAATGAACGTTGAAAACTCTATTTTGAAAATTGAATTTGTTAGGCTGATCATTGGCAGAACATGAGGCGCTACAAATATTATGTATGACCAGAGAAGTAGAAGGAAGGTCAAATAAATATGTTGGTTTATGCAAACCTTCCAGTTGTTCTGGGCTTCGTTTCATCTGAATCAATGACCATTGAGTAAAGTACAATACTTCAGATTTGTAAATGCGTTACATATATATCATCAATATACGTACATGTAATACAAAATAATCAATTATAATAATGTAAGCTTAAGCTTGTGTAACTTACCTGTGGACTCCAGACCGTGACATCATTATCATACTGGTTTCTGAACTGAAATAATATGAAAATGATCAGGTATTTTGCAAATTATTGTCTTAGTATTTTACAATTTTATCTGATTAGCTTACCATCTTCAAGTGTAAGTATTCCATTAGTGCCACCGGTAAGCAAATCATCTTAGGTCAGAAACATGATCATTTTCTATTTGATGTATTTAACTAGCCCATATATATGATATAGTTAAACCAGTGATGTTCTGTCATATCTGTGATAAATTTGTCCAGTAGTAGATCGTTCTAAGGCCTTTCTTTGAGCAGGTTTTGTAGTTTTGTCACAATTGGATGACAAAAAAATTACTGAGCTATATCTAATTTCCAATTACACTGACCCCAAACTCTACTGCACATCTTAACAATTTCCATTCCTTATGTTTTGATAAAACTCAACTGCTACGCGAAATTTCTGTCCATTTTAAAATGATATGTGTTGAAAATTTGGCAACTGAACTAGTACCTACGTAGAGGTACGTTACTGAAATAGTACCTAGTGATCTTTATATTAGATCTATTATGCTATATTGTTCATTTGTTGTATTGCTATATTGTTGTACATGTATGGTTAATGTGTTTAAGAAAATAAACTGAAATGAAAGTGAGCAATGAAGTGTCTGAAGTGAAAGAATTTTAGAATTATTACTGTGTGAACCTCGCTATTTTATAAACGGATTTCTTCGATTATGAACAAACTATTTAACTTTGGTTATTATAAACTTACCTGTGTGTTTGAAATCAACTCCGGTTAAATAAAATCCATTGCACAATTAAATATCCCAACGAATAAAAAAGTTCTCTCTTGAAAAATTTGACGTGTTTACTTATATTTTCTTCAAAGTCGAAGACAACATGGCTTTCGTCACGTGTTGGACGAAACCATTACAGTTGTTGTGGGGGTGTTTAGTTTTGACAGCGAGTTTGACAACCACGTGTTGCTATGAAAACAAACCGTGATCGTTTCGATCGTTTGAGTTTGGGCGACGAAAAATTTTAACTAAAGGCAATTACATAGAAGAATTATATTGAAACCATTGATGGCCAGTCTACCACATTTCATTTACAATGAAAATATCAATGATTGCACGGATACTCGTAAAAATAAAGTCGTATTTAAACTAAACCTTTCCTATCTTCTTTATACATGTATTATAAATAATTTAAGAAACAACATGAAGCTCACGACCGAAGTTTCCGAGTGCATCGTTAACTTAATATCATTTTTTCGAGGAAACGATAACCGTTTCAGCAAAATATACAAGCGTGTTGCAGCAGCCCCGAAGGTGCCAATTCTGTGGGTGTATAATGCAAAAAAAACTATAATGCAATAATTAAAACAAAATTATATTATTTCAAAAGAAAATGTATAAACTTTGCAGGTATTTTACTTACTAGAATGTAAAAATATGGTAATAAAATAAAGAGATATGGGCCGAACCCCCAAACTCAATACCAATTAAGCAGAGGCTAATACCACGAATTGTCGTAAATGTACCGTAAAACGTTTCGATGTATCATGCTGTCACCCCTTTATACGAAATGATATCTCCCGAAGAGTAACGTAACCGGCTTCCATTTTTGTATTGCCCTATGTCAAAAGTTTGTTGGAGTTCAATTTTTCAAGAGATAACTTTTTTATTCGTTGGGATATTTAATTGTGCAATGGATTTAATTTAACCGGAGTTGATTTCAAACACACTGGTAAGTTTATAATAACCAAAGTTAAATAGTTTGTTCATAATCGAAGAAATCCGTTTATAAAAATAGCAAGGTTCACACAGTAGAAAGGTAAACACCGTTTTGGTGTTAGGAGCATTTACTGGCATTATTTTTACAAACAGTTAGTTTCACTCAAGTTTGAACAATCGGTGTATTTCATTAAATCAATTGATATAATCACCATTTTGTAATATTCTTTAGAATTATATCCAAATTCACAATATCAGTCGGTTTTCCAATAACAACGTGACTTGTGATTTGCAGAATTATTTACCGACGTCTTTTAAACCTCCACTTTGCAAGAGCTAATATTTAGAGTTATCTACCCTGATAATCCATTTGGAGGCAGACCACCATTAATTTCCTCATTGACTTCAATGTTAATTCTGGCCTCTTTGCCCACCTCCAACTTTTACCCAAATTTTCGTTGGGCTGAACGCTTTTCACTACAGACAGAGAAACAAATGGTCATGTCTTTGCACTAACATTTGTATGAGGTTGAGATACACAAACTTGAAGAAGCATACTAAAACATGTAACTAGTTGCCGTACATATCACCGTAGCCAACCTGATAACCCCGTTATCTTTCCGCCTCAAAATCACGAATATTTACCAAAACCTGGTAGAAAATGTTAATTTAAACCCTCTCCGTCCATTCTAGACCAAAAAATCAACAAATATGGGCATGCAAAAGGGGAGAAAAGAGACCGAGAGAGAATTGCTACCGAGATGGTGAAATCAAATGGTGGACTGCATTCATTTAGGGCTATTTTCCTGATATTTAAAAATGTCCGATTTCCACGGTAGAAAAGCATTATTATACTCTTCAAAAAAGTAGGGGATAATCAGAAACAATACAAAACTGTGGAAATGCACTGCTGTTTTATTAGAGGTAACCAGTGTTAATAACAGGACAATTGCCTACACATGTACATAAACAGTTCATATGGGCGGCTTATCTGACGGCCCCATTTCACTCGCAAGGAGATATACTGTCAAAAGTGAAAATGGACGTTTCTGATTTTTGTCTTTATAATGAGTAATTGCTCCACCAATCCTCAGACATTCAGCAATTCGTCGTGGTATGCTTCTAATCAACCGTCCAATCACGATTTGGGACAATCTGACCCACTCCTCTTGCAGTGCCACGGCCAATTGTTGCAGTGCTGTCGGTTGACGTCGACGTCGACGAACACGTCTCCCGATCATGTCCCAGACATGCTCTATGGGGGGAAAGGTCAAGACTCATGGCTGGTCAAGGCATGTGGTCAATATGGTGACGCTGGAGGTAGTCATTCACGACACGAGCGCGGTGGGCACGGGCATTATCATCTTGAAAGATGAAACGTCGACCTGCAAGTTGAGCAAAGGGCAGAACTACCGGTGCCAGGATGTGGTCACGGTAGTACACACCAGCGAACCTTCCTTGAACAATATGCAAGTCCGTTCTGCCAGTAATGGTGATTCCTCCCCACATAACAGACCCACGCCCAAATCTGTCATGCTGTCTGACGTTAACGTTAGCATGACGCTCATTTACACGACCCCAAACGCGAGCACGCCTCGGTGAAATCCAGAGTAAATCTGGACTCATCTGAGAACATTACACGCGGCCATCGACGATTACCCCAATTTCCACGCTGCCTACACCACTGACGCCTGTTTGCCATGAAATGGCTGTCCGTGGGACTTACTCGTAGTTGATTTTTTCTTGAATTAAGTTTTCAGAGAACAAAAGTAGGTATAAGTATGGTAATCAAAAACACGTGGCAAGCAAAATAACCCATTTACTTAAACCATGGACCTTATACCGGTAATACAAAAGGTCCATGTTTAAACAGGCATTATGCAAGAGCCAAATCTGCCTATTACAGGTCTTTCTTTGGATCTTAATTGTAATATAAACTATAAATAGGTTTTTTTTACATGACATGACCATAATTAACTCTCGATGCCATCGGATGGTTCCGGTTTTAAGCAGATTAGATTCGGTTCGGCCATTTAATAATTTACCGTAAAAATGGTGAAGCGATTCTTAGCCTCGAACAACCAGTACGGTGATTACAATCAGTGCACACATCTTGCCAAACCTTCAAAAAAGGCTAATAGGCTATCTTCGCTCAGAATAAAGTAATCTGAATGAAATTTTCAATATATTCTTTTTCCATTATTTATTTTTGAACTATTATAGCGAGAAATGCCAGCCCAGTATCTAATTCTTACATAATGTAGCTTTAATTTAGAAGTTTTACATCCAAATATTGAGCCGTTCAGGAATGATCGGCAGATTTAGTATACGTGATTACATAACTGATTTAAAGAAAATAAAATGGGATTTAACGTCCCACTGTTCTGCTTCGAGTGGGTAATGAAGACGGGCATACGCCATACAGTGTGCTATGGGAAATTCTGCCCGGGCAGCAGCACTATGGCCTACTCTTATGTCGAATTCCAACGGCCAAGAGACATTTTACGTGCATGCCAATGTATACACAGGCTCTCATTCATGTGGAAACCACGTCGGAAAATCACGATGAACTTTCTCGACCAATGCAGTGATAGAACACCCGACCCCCAGGCTAACGAGCCAGCGTCTTACCCACTTAGCGACCGCTCATTTAAAGGAGCTAAACCTCTAACACAATAGTTTCCATAATATTTGAAATTAAAAACACCAATATAATACTGGTGTTGATATATGGCCGTAAAAATATGGGATCCTAATATCCAATATTTAAGACACAATGAACATTTTATAATCAATACACGACTTATGTATCCTATGGTTTAGGGCGTCATTTGTACTGAACAAAGAAAAACATGGCCTACATGACAATTGCCGAAGTAATTAGTAATGACTGATTCACAAACGTCAATATAATATTTAAAAAACGCATAAGGCCCTCAATGGACTAAGCAGGCGTAAACGACTGTTATTCATTCTGTGCTTTTCTCGTATTTCACCAAACGTTATTTCAAAAATTTAATATAATTCACTTTAAATACATTCATGTTACATTGGAACCGTTATACCCATTTGGTCTATTTTAAGGTTCCAAAGATTTTAAGATATCCATGGTCAAATTGAAAGTTTGTATCTCTTTGAAAAATATCACAGAGCTTTAAACACTTGTACAGGGTTGGAATACTGGTTTATAAGAGGGCTTCACACAGAAATAACCAGTTTTATCTAACTGTATCTGGTACGGCTCCTTTAAAAGTTAACCGGTCATATAGCCGATTTAAATAACCAACTTTGTGTGAAACGTTCCAGCGAGTAAATCAAAAAGATCAGCCTTAAACTTTAATTTGAATTAACTACTTTGCATGTCGACCCGCTTCTTTTCCCATCGACCACCATTTGATATTTTGGTCGACGTGAAAACGAACGTCGAGACCATCTTTAACCAATAATGAAATTTTGTATTGTGATACTACAAAGTTGTTATATTGCAATTATTGTAATAAAGACAATCGCCTTCGTGCATAGGAAGGTATGTCTAGATATCAAATAGGATTTTGGGTTAAGTAGGTGTTCTGGAAATCAACTGACAGCAGGGTGGTCCGGATCCTCAAGCATATGTGTGCTAATAAAAACATAACCTACTTGCCAGCATGATTCATCTTAAGTTCGTTCTCACATCAGTCGCCTCGGGCTAGACACTGAGCGAGACTTCATCCTTTGAACAATGCATCATTCAGCGTTCCTTTAGACCGCATACAGCGTTCCTAGAGACATCATTCAGATTTCGTAGAGGCATCATAAGGTAGACAACGTGTAGCGTTTCGAAACTTAGGCCAGAGTTCAAGGCTCGTGGAACTCCGTCTATAATTTGGACGATCTTAGGTTGACTCTTGCCAAGCTAGGGAGTACTTAACAATGTAAATTGCTGATGTTTAGATTCCAAGTGTGAGTAACGTTAAGTAAACATGTCTACCATCTAATTGCAGTTATTTTGGACCAGAATAGTCTTATCATCAATTTTGGCTGCCGTTGGTCGATGCTTTGGGGCATAATAACTTTGGGGCTTTCTAATTGAGAAAGAGGGGTGATCAAAAACTGGGGGGGGGGTTGGATGGCGTGGTTTCGAATCCCCAGTTGTATGTGGCAAGGAGTATGGTCGCCTGTCCAACCTCGTGGGTTTTCTCCGGGTCCTCCGGTTTCCTCCCACTGCTAAAGACCCCTACGCGCAAGCGAATTATGTAAATAAAATTAAACCATATGTTAGTCCCGAAATGACCTAGTTTGTGTCGAGTGGACGTTAAATCCCATTTCTCTCTCTCTCTCTGATCAAAAACTTGAGTAAAGTCAATCATAAACATTTTATGCACAATGCTAAGTATAGATAAGCAATTTGATTGTCATTTTCACTTGACATCATCAGTATTTATCCCACTGCTTCTTTAAGTTTTGTTAAAAAGCAGTGGGCATCCACCTGATCAGCCATCGCACCCCACCCCACTACTGATTATACAAGGAAGGAGTTTTAGAACCTCAGCGATAAAATCTCAATTAACACATATGATTAGAATAATTATGTCCCATGAAGGAGATAACGATATCTCCATCGTTTCGAGTATTACAAAGATTATGATTTTGCTTGACCCAAACAGAAAAGAACAAAAGCATTCTTGTTCAATGTTAATAGATAACCTTGTGTTGATAGTAGCATCATACCAAATGACGTTTGTTTGTTTATTTTACATCGTAATCGACAATTTTAGACATAACAGATTCATTACCGTTAAAATAAACCAATAAGCTTTAATATTAACCTTGTTGTAAGAAAAATTACATTCCAAATTATGTTAAGCCCAAGAGCTAAGGCATTTATGATAGATAATTTGTTAAAAATAGAAAATAAGGCAGAGGAGAAAATAAATTGTGATATAAATGGCTGTAGACAAATTGAGAATCATGGTTCATCGAAATATGTCAGAGGTAAGACAAATCATGTTTCTAATTGCAGTAGGCTATGTCTTTAAAAAAAACTGTTTGCTTACAGGATTTACACCATTGATGAAAATAGTCTAAAAATTCATTACGTTATTGCATAATGTCTCAGGCCACTTATTTTAAAGTTGCAATTTCATACTTTTACGTTATATTTTTAAATTTATTAAAATAAAGCCTTAAAATAGATGGTATCTATAAACAGCCCTACCTTGTTAAAGAATAATCCTATTAATCCTATAATTCACTATTGCCAGTTGAAAAATTGGCAAAAGTATCATTTTCCTCTTCAAATTCAAACGTTTGAGGATAGCTACTCCATGGTGGAGAATAGAAAACAAGGGAGGTAATTGGGAGGTAATTGTGTTATTATTTCCGGTGTAAATGAGTTTTAAGTGTGAGAATGACGCCTATGATCGTATAATAGTGAGTTGACAACCTATTGAGCAAAAGACATAGAAATAATTATGTTTTGATTTTATTAGAAAATATGAAATTGTAACTTTAAATAACCAACAGAACGCAAAACCATTTTGATGCATTTGAGTTTCCAGCATACATGTAGTTGTCTTCATAAATGAATTTATTTTTTCATTTCTCCATCGTTTATAGTAAATATTTGCTAGTTGTTTGTTTCTTTCGTTTCTGTACTTTTCAATCGCTTGGTTCTGGAAATAATGATTATGGTATTAAAATCAACGCTTAATATCTTGGCCATTGGTTAAGATAAATACATATTATGTCATAAATATACCAATTTAAATGCAAAATTTAATAATTTATGTGTAACTGTATTTTGATTATTTGATCCATATTTCATTTAGCCAGAGCCGTTCACGAATGTTTTCGTCAAAACTTTCTTTGAAAATTCTCAGTGTCAGTCAGTCTCCATTGTAGATTATAAACCTACACTTTCATTTTTCTTTAGCCTGGTCCCCAAATGAAACACCAGAAGAAGTGTTCGTACAATTCGTAAAATATCACACGACCAATTTCTTTTGCCGGGCGTAGATTACATTTTTAAGCAAACATACTATAAATACAGCTCCGCGAAAAATCATTTAGTTACAACAAAATGAAATCATTTTCAATTCAGATGAAAATTCCAACAACACAATTCAAGTGGAATTACACCAGAATGATCTGTGGACGTCTTTTCATAGAATTGGTACTGAGATGATTATCACTAAAAATGGAAGGTGTAATGTATTTACAATAGACATAATTTTCTTTTTCTTTATAAAAATCGCACTTATATGTCAAGATTTTAATCTATGTATTTAACTTTAAATCTATATTTATTTCTTTATCGCTTATATTTTAGAGCATAAAGGAAGAATTGTAGTTTTGTAACATTTGAAATTATTCTAATTTTTTAGGAGAATGTTCCCTGCTCCACGGATCAAAATTTGGGGTACCGAGTCATTATCATTATATAAAATCTACATTGACTTTATTTCACCAGACACTAACAAATACAGATATCATTACCAAAGGTAAAAACCTATTGTATTATTTTGCGGTCATCAGTTTAATTTTTTTAGAAGCTCCAGGAAATGGAAATTTTGTTCCAGGTTAAGAATGCGAAATTTGAAATTCAGTGTTATACTGTGCATCTAACATTTGTTAGAGTTTTCAGATAAGCATCTTTGAAGCTGTATAACAAAATGTTAATAATTAAAATGTTCTTTAAGTTATAATACTTTCTTAGTTCCAGATGGATGTCTACTGGTAAAACAGATTCATCTACATGTAGTTCTAGTGAACAAACTTGTCTCTTCAATAGACCCATCTCAGGCAGTTATCTTCAGGAACAGACAATATCATTTGAAAAACTAAAACTGACCAATAATCCCAACATGTCTTCGGGAAAGGTAGGTTTGAAACCATCATGAAATAAATATAATAGCCATTTCACTTTCCTGATTTTGTGTCTGATCCACCAATCTCTAGTCTACAGGGCTTATGGCGTAGCCCTTGTTGATTGCCTGGTAATAGAGAGATACAAATTAGATCATTTAATAACTAAGATATGGGAATGGGAAGACACAAGATCCCGTAGTAAACCCCACCAGTGCCGGGTTAACCCAGTATCAAATTGTGTGTAAACCAGCATTTCAAATTCGGTAATCGTGCACTTGCTCTATTATATTATACTGACTTCAACATTCATGAACCACTGGATGTTTCAGGTTAGCGATTTAAGCCAATCATCTCCTTCGGTTGGGATTATTCTTTGAATACAGGAATTAATTGGAGTATTATCTGGATGTATAACAAATGAAGAAATTTAATAACTATGCAAGTAAAAAGGATTTTTAAATCCTTATTACTATTGATGTTATTTATTTATGTTTTTTTAAAAAAAATTAGAGCTCCTTTATGCAAGCCCAGCATTAGGCTAAACCTGGCACTGTACCCCGAGTTCATGCAGGTGGCCCCACCCCTTGCCATCCCCAGTATAAAAGTCGTGACATTAATTGTATATACATGTATGCATTTTAGGTATGCCTTCGATCAATGCAGAACTATTACCCAAGAATTACAGTTGTGAAGGTGTCAGATTTGCAGAAAAAAAGTCACTCGCAAGAAATATACCATATAATCTTCCCTCAAACATCCTTCATATCAGTTACTGCCTACCAAAATCAAAACGTAAATATATTTTAATGCAGCTTAAAATGACTAAACCTCTTTAATTTGGGTAAAACTTAAAATTGTCCATTTTACTGGACTTTATAGTATGTTGATTTGTTTTGTGGAATGTCATTATGTCTTCGTTGAGAAAACTGGACGTTTATTGAGAGATTATGTGTTCTACTGTAGACACAGTAAGCCAACAAGGAAACTAAAAGTAGTAAGCCAACAAGGAAACTAAAAGCAGTAAGCAAGACAACTTCCGCTTAAACTTTCGAAGCAAAAATTTACTCGTATGGAAAATGCTTTATCATTAATCGAAAAAGCGTATCAGATCAACACAACGCTGTACCGTTGGACTAAACCAAAGAGGTTTAGCTCCTTTAATCTATATATTCAAAATTATATAGCTAGGGAAGTATCGCAAATCACTTGGGTTTACGGGTATTTAGTGATCTCGATACAGTGACTCAAATGTTTAGTATAATTAATGGAACAATTTAGAGAACTTTGATTTCATTAGACGAACACTTTAAAATCGAGTAAAATAAAATGATATAAAGAGTCAACTGCTGGTGTTGTTTTGTTTTTATAGGCTTCTTATAACACAAATTTATGATAGAGAAAGAAATTAAACATTTTTTCTTTTATTATCTGTTTGGTTTACAATGAGCTTTTCATCACTTTATCATTTATCTTGTAGACATAATATAACTATCATCACTTCACACCTTTTATACTGATAACAAAATATCATAACAAAATTAAAATAAAGCCTTTGTCTTTCTAGATTATTTAAGAGATTTCAATCTGTTTAATATTAAATTGTCCTTATAGGGAACTTCTGGTAGAAAGTCATCTTTGAATATGAACAGGAATTACATTACTTTTTCGTTAACATTGATAATTACCCACCACCATACTCTAATGAGATCGAAGCTCCCAGGAAGTCCAAAGATAGCTTTTCCGGACACGTAATCCCTAGAACAGAAAATCCAAGAATGCTGAAAATTAACAGGAACAGGATTCATCCTGCCCGATCCCAATGTTTCAGACCAAATTTGAATAAATCGGCACGTTTCCCATTCTTTCTCATTTGCATGGAAAAGTTGATGAATGACACAAATTTTCTAATTTCAGATAACACAGCTAAAGATAGCAAGAAATCCTTTTGCGAAAGGCTTTAGAGCAAAGTGTACATTCAGGTATTTACACGTTCAATGCATTCGTAGATAATTTGCCATTATACATAATATTCGTCTTGTCGCTGTTGGTCTAAGAAATTGTTTTACATACGGAGAGAATTTAGGAGCACAATATATAACAGGCGTATAAAAATTAGGCCCGGATTAAGCTTGCATGGGCTGAAAATGTCACTGGTTCCCTTGCATTAACAGTTAAACGGGGGAATATCATTGCCCGTCATACTCACACAAATTAAATTCGTATGGCAGATAGATTTATTTGGCACATAATAAATAAAAACATAAATTTGTTCGTAAAACATTATTCTTTTGGGATGCCTTTAATACAAGTACTGGAAGTATGTCACTATGTTATATATATACGGTATCCGCTTGGAGGAAACATCCGAGGTCCCATTTTGATCTGGAACAGTATTGCTGGGAGAAGGATACTAAATTGAGAAAATAACAACCGGCCATCTTGTTCCGTAGTCTGTCATGTGGCTCATCAGATGTGGATGCAAGAGTGACAACTCGTGTAGTACGTGTGCTTGTAGCTGCACAAGGGATGGCTTAGAATATACAGTATTTTGCACTTGTACTGTCACGGGTTTCAACAATCAGCTTGTGCCTCCCTTTTCAGGACCGACCCATGTGGCCCTGGAGCCCCTGATAGATATGTATGTGGTGTTATCGTATCACATCCATGCTCCTATGCCCAGAAATATATAATTTCTATCTAGATATACTTTGTGTTGGTGAAATAATGGTCTTCAACGGCATTGTCTGGCATTTTGGGTTTTACTATCATCTAATGACCCCACAACATAATGAACGGTTTCAGTGTATTCCTTGACCCCAGAAACCTACGGTTACCCACCAAAATGATCATCCTAGAATAAATACTATGGGAGCTATAGGGTATTATTTGATGCAGCGGCCGTCTTGGGCGTCATCTTGAATTTCTCAAAACGCTCAAGGGTGACCGAGGTACACCCGGCAGATTCTGAAAGAGGACATTGCACCCTAGGTTACTAAATTCAATCATAAAAAAACTTTGTCTACAATTTCCAGGTTCACTCGAAATATTGGGTTTGGCGTCCGGACTATAGTCCCAAAGTAATGTTACTGTCTGTGTAAACAGCACGCGTAATTTGATACGCGGTGTTTTTCTTCAGGAGACGAAAAGGCCTATTTATTTTCAATGATTTCCGAAAACTCAAATTATAATTAAAGACGTATTCGTAATGCTACTTGAGTGTCGTTAAGTTAATTTCTTATTTGTTTGTTTGTAAGAACGTTTTTGCACATTTAATATTGTACATGCATTCTTCGATTACGAAATGAAATACGTGCAATTTTTATTGTCATGACCTTGACACATGCAAAATAAAAATCTATTTACATAATAAGGATATAAATATAATGAGTCACGATACAGTCATTATTTCCTTACAGCACGCTTTATTCATTATGCATGCGTGTTAGTCGTACGAGATCTAAAACGGCTGGGCTCAGCGACAGTTTGTCTGCTATATCTAAAATTATACCTTCCATATAATTAGAACACCTTCGATAGAATAGTATAGACAAAACATGTCAAATCGAAATTAATTTTTGCACTTCGATAAACATCTCTTTAAAATCCTTTGTTTGCTGAGTAAATCATGAGTAAGGGAATGGGTGGATTAGGGGATCTTTCTGTACATTCTGCAAGATCTCCGGTTATTTCATCCCACCGTTAAATAGTAATCCGGCAGTGTAAATTACTCATACAATGTCATAAGTATGTGTTTTTATGTAATTTCAAACCTATTGCGTTGCTCAAGTTACATATTGACGATAACGATATGGGTTTCCAAGAACTTTGCATGATTCATACTCGGAAACATGTTGTAATTTTGTAGTTTATTTAGGTCAAATATACATATACCTTTTTGTACTTGCAGCTTACATCGCAATCAAAAGTGAAAGTAGTTTCTTTGAAATTATTTTGATGGGTAAAATTCCCCTCTCAAATTGCGAAATGAATCAGAACACTATGTTTCTGTTAAATAGGCGTTTTGAATGATTAGCCAATGTATGTAACAACCCTTTGACTTTGAACTTCCTTCCACCCCTCTTAAAAAGGAAGATCATTCCTATCTATCAACAATTTACAGTGATAATAATAATAACTAGACCTGTCCTGGAAACAGGTTTGATAGTTTTTATATACTTCTACATTAATTTCAATATCTAGTAGATTAATGTGTATTGTTTTCCTGGTTTCTTTTTAACACACTTAAAGAAAAAAAATTATTAAAATCTGTCAAAAAGTCCCTAACTTAAATAGAAAAACTTTTCAGCCGGGCAAAATTTCTTGTTTTTTAAAAAAAAAAAAAAAAATTGCACATAACCTCCTGTGAATAAAGACTGATTGTGATAAAACTTTCAGAAAAAGCACCAAATGACCTAGTTAAACATGAATTATGCAAGAGCTAAATCTGCTGATTGCAGATCTTTATTTGGGCCTGAAATGTTATCTAAATTATTTTAGAAAAATTGAAAATCTGATCACGTTTTAAAAAGGGAGATAATCCGAAAAATTTGGATGAGATTTTTGGCCTAACTCACCGACTTGTAACGGATTCTAAAAGTTTCAAATCGGAATCTTCAATATTTCCAATTTTGAGCTTAAAATTAGGTCATGCGCATGTGTGGTAGAGACGACATTTTCTTGGACAAAACTTGTGAATTACAAACAGCTACCAATTGTTGATCGCGAAACGGGTGTGACCAAAGAAATGAAATGAAATGGGGTTTAACGTCCTACTGTACTGCTCCTAACCTGGGCAAATGAAGACGGGCATACGCCATACAGTGTGCTATGAGGGAGATTTTGCCCGGGCAGCGGCGCTGCGGCGCTGCGGCCTACTCTTATATCGAATTCCAACTACCAAGGGATCTTTTACGTGCACGCCAATGTGTACACGGTACTTCGGTTTTTCGTTCCATCCGAACGACTAGACAGCTGTCCTTGTCAGCCCCTCCATCCTGCATCACTGACAAGGGGAAACCACGCTGGAAAATCTGAATGAACATTCTCGGCCAATGCAGGGATCGGACACCAGAGATACTAAACAATTGAAGTGTAGTAAAATTTGCCTCTATCAGAGTGCAATCATAATCATTAAGTTATAAAAAGGAAGGAGATCTAACAATTAGAATGTGACTTCCTTTTTAATACTTCATCAATAAGCTTTTACAATAGCGCTTATTTAAGACCAGGAAACAACTCGTGAACAACGCGTTGGTCAGTTCTTGGATTTTCGATAACTAAATCTATATTATGTTTAATTATGAATGATTATTTCCTTGTTGAAAGTTCTAATGCCTCCTTTATTCTTGATTGTAAATCGTATAAGAATGTGTGTAATCGCTGTGTCTGTGGCCCCTAATATTACTGAATAAACTTATTATTATTATTATTATTATTATAGCCCATTTAACAACAAATTGGTCAGACATAATGTGACAGTTTACGAATTTAAAAATTTATTTCCAGACACTCCATAGATTCTTCACAGAACCTGCTTAATCTCAAACAATTCCAGGATATTAAGGGAAAAGGTAATAGACTCAGAGTAGTAATTTGATTAAAGTCGATGTAATAGTTTTACATATGTCACCAAATTCCCATGAATACATGTAATTTGTGATAAATATTGTTTACAGTATCACTTACTTTATATTTAATCTTGCAATGTGTACCGTGTTTGAGGGTATGTATAAGAAGAACAAACGCCGAAGAGACCCAAATCTGAATACCTACTTTTATTTGTGCGTGTGGGTGGGTGGGGGGGCTTACGTATAATCAGTGTACCTAAACATGTCTGAATAAAGGATAAAGGTATGACATCCTAAATAACAATTATTTATTGAGTCTTTTTCTACATTGGAAGACCCAATATATATTTCAATTGAAATTTGCATGTGTTGGCTTTAATGCTTTAATTGTTTCGAGTCGCCTTGGTGGGTCTTCAACCACTAAATAGTTAAAAAGTTAACAAGATAAAAGTCTTGCCTAACTAGATATGATGCCGTATTCCAGATTTGCTTTAGGTTTCAGGAAACGAAAAGTTCAAATTAATGATATCTAGCGAAAATATAGCGATGATTTTATATTGGTTTGTGCACATTTGTATATCGATATCAATCTTACACTTTCAGGTCCGCAATTTGGCGAATTCAAAAGCAGACGCCGAAAATATCCGTACACATCGATATGGAGAGAAAAGCCCTGTAAAGAACAATGGCATTGCATTATACCAAGTATTATTCTTAAAACAGAAGAACATTTTGGAACCATAAATTCCCATTTGTGCATGGATCAGTGTATAGCAAATGGATATTGTGATTATTATGCTAGACATCATCAGTACAAATACCAGTCAGGAATATCACAGAGTATTAAAGATGAAATATAGTGAATTTATTTTAAAAATAGCAAACAATAAGACGGTTTTGTCTCCATCCGTTAGTATCCCTGTCATTTTTATACGTCCATTCACGTATGTGTGTCGCCTAAAGGGCGAGTATCCCTGTCATTTTTATACGTCCATTCATGTATGTGTGTCTGTGTGTCGCCTAAAGGGCGCAATTCTTAATGGATTGTCTTGAAACCGTGCATACTAAACTTATCCCGTATATTCTAAAGATGGTCCCTTTTTTATATGTGTCTGTCGCCTACAGGCCGCAATTATGAATGGTTCGTCTTGAAATTTTTTATACTTATTCCTTATACCCGAAGGTTGACCTCTATTAATTTTGGTGCATGCTGGACCCCTAGGGGCAGAGTCACGTCCAACTTTTTATGCGTTTCTTTGCTGTCTACAGGCAGCATTTCTTGACGGATCATCTTGAAACTTAACATACTTATATTCCTTATACCCTAAGGACAATCCCTATTATTTTGGTACATGCACAACCCCAGGGGCAGAGCCACGCCCATTTTATCTTTGTGTGTCTGTGTGTCACCTATAGACCGCGATTCTTAATAGATTATCTGGAAGACTTTTGATACTTATACCTTACACCCTAAGGATGGCCTCCATTATTTTTGGTACGCACCCAATTTTTCTGTTTATCGTATCATCTTGGCACCTGGCATGTATTCCTTATTGCCTAAGGACGGCAACTATTGATTTTGATACAAGTGCCAACCCCCAGGGGCAGAGCCACGGCCCAATTTTCTGTTTATCGTATACAGGCCGCAATTCTGAAAGGAGGATCATCTTGGAACTTGGCGTATGTATTCCTTGATTTTGGTGCATGACCACCCCCCCCCCCCCCACCTTCGACAGTGGCACATCCACTTTTTTGTTAATATTTTTTCTGTTAATACTCTAAAAGGGTCAATTATTAACCATGATCCGTCATTGGGTTGTACCTATTTATATTTGTCCATGTCTAACCCCCAGGGGCAGACCCAGGCCATTTTTTGTGTTTTTTGTCTACAGACTGGAATTCTGAATGAATCATCTTGGAACTTGGCATGTTTATTCCTTATACCGTAAGGACAATAACAATTTATTTTCGTGCATGCCCCAACCCCCAGTGATTCTCTCAGGTATTTCGTCAGGATATTTAACCAACCAGTATTCTATCACTAGAATCACTAAATATTTTATTGTAAAATCTACTGATATCACAATGTCCAATAATGTGTTGTACTTTGATGGGAATTTTTATCCTAAAAAAGGCTACCCAATGGGTAGCAAGGTAAGCCCTACGTACCCATATTAGATTTGGTTTTTTTTTAGAAAACAATTGGTATAACCAAATATTAAACGATTTTGGACACGAGATGTATATATACATAAAACAAGCATGGAAAAGATTCCTGGGCGACTGTTTTGTAATCTTAAAAGTAGCCCAGGAAGTAATTGATAAACTTCATAGATTGCTTAACGAGCTAGATGAAAATATTTGCTTCACTATTGAAAATAGTAACATATCTTTAAAATTTGTAAATGTTACAGTTATAGTGTCAAATATATAAATATATATATAATATATAAACTCAACTGGTCGGATAATATAATTTGCTAGAAAATAAAGAACGGCACTTTACTAACAAGTATCACCCTTAATTAAATGCTGCATAATTTTATATTGGAATTTGATATTGTAAAATATTTATATTTGATATTATTATTGTCATGTTCATACATGTATATATTAATAACGCCATGACGGCATGTAATTGCATACTATCTCATTATTAAATGCCTGATGATTACCGTACTGGGCGAAAGCGCTAGCTAAGATGAAATTAGTTTTTTCTTTCTAAAAAACCTCACTTCTATATATATGATGGTAAATATTACTGGATATAAATTGAACTGAATGCCAGGAAATTGTCAATTCCGCATGAGTCACTTTTCGAGATATTTATTCTGTAAAACCGTTAAACCAATTATGAAGGTCACCAAACAATTTCTGTCGGATTTTAACAATACAAAGCCCAAACCTGGGCTTGACAGGTTTTCCGTTGCGCCACGGGCAAGGGGAACCACGCCTGAAAATTATTTTCTCGGGCAATAATGGGAGCAAACCCGAGACCTCTTGGTTAGCTATCCAGTGTCGTATTCACTGAGTAACCGCGGCTCCTATCTATATTAGTATTGAAAGACAGATGTAATAATTACATAAGATAACCACAGCTCATTCTAGCTAAATGTCGGTGTTTGTAATATTGCATCTTATCTTTGTGCATGACAGACCTGTAACCAGATTATGATTTGAGGTATAATGGAAATTTAAACATACATTATTTAAGAGCTAATTCTGCCTATTATAGGCCTTTCTTTGGGCCTGAAATGTTATATAAACTATTAATTAGACATTTATTAACATGACAAGACCATAATCAACTCTCGATGCCATTTGATGCTTCCGAGTTTCGTTAGATTTGAATCCGATCTACCGTTCAACAGCCATTGATGATTAAACGCAAAAATGGATAATCGAGACCTATTTTATTTTTGTCACAACGGCAACACTGACAATCGAGGTTACAAGGTTTTGAAAATGGGTATTTCTCGGCTTAGAGTGAAGTAATTTGACTGAAATTTAACTATTTAACTATTATAGTGAGAACTGTCGACTCTCTATCTAATCTTCATAATGTATCTTTCAATTAAACCATATAATTGTTCTGCATAATTTGTAGCTGACATTTATACGCGGGAAAGCAAAAGTGACGAATGTAAACCAGAACCTCTTCCTGTTCAATGTAGTGTAGAGGTTTATGGATACATTTTACATGTTCAAGGATAAGTCTAATGAACAAATAAGACAACTTCTGGACTCCCTCGACTCGGTCTTGCCAGAGCGGTTCATTTCTTAAAATATTACATCGTGTCTTCCTAAGAATTTCAATGGATCTAGTTCTGGTATTTATATCTCTGATATTCTGGGCTGGGCGATTTGATTTGTTAACCCTTTCCAGATATATGCATGACATTCACTTTACTAGCCAACCGTATATGGAAACTATAAACAAGACCCTGAAAGATGCGTATAGTATATTCTATGGGTCTATAACCGGGACTGAGATCTACATAAACGAGCTAGAAAACTATGTATAGACTATAACCTGTGAGCACGACGATTAACTCAATCCTATCAAATAGGACCCAGTATACATCTGATACAAATGTATAGTACAGTATATTTCATGTATACAAAAGATAGGTTGCCAGACAACGAAGCAGTCGACAAAGTTTGTCACATATTTATGCTTTCGTAAGTAATGTGAGCATTTACAAGACAGATCGAATGTTCACAAGTAACAGTAGAAGAAATTAGCATAAATTGCATAAATCCAATAGACTTCTTCGTTTTACTGCCGGTTTAAAAACAAGTTAAACACGTTTTTAAAAAAAATCTAGTCTCGGTTTGAAACAAGTTAATTACATTTTTTTTTTTTTTAAAAAAAAACCCAAAACCTCGAGTCTATAACAGAGAGCTTTTAAGGTCTTCTATATGGTATCAATCCACAATTATATTACAGCAGTAACGGATCTAAAGACTGTGAATGGTGGGGGGGAATCTAAGGCGCCATCCCCTATCCCACCCCACTATGAATGTATTATCCTGTTTGTCGATTCTTATCTCGTCGGAAAGCAGATTTATGCAGGTTGACATACCGAGCAACCCGAAGAGAGTGAGTGGGGAGGGATTGGGGAGGGGGGGGGGGTATCTCCCCCCTGAGATAATTTTGTCAGATTCTTGGCTGGGAGCAAATTCTTGCGAACGAGAGGAACAGAAATGGGACCCACGCACTAGTGGTACTACTAACTAGGCGGTTAACTTTAACCGTGAACATGATAGTGATGAGATAGTACACCACAGCCAACGGGAGGAATGATGGCATAAGTCCGCTCTCGTATTACAGTGTTTGCATGTGAACGGACAGACGGGTCGGGATGACGACTATGTAAGACACAATATCTATCAAAATTTTTCAATAACAATAAGTTATATTTTTAGTGTTTAGTATTCAAATTAATTATACATATATGTTCATAAATATAATATTTTGAATGGACACTAAATTATTATTTTTTCGTTTTCGGCTTTTTATATTCGGCGTGATTCGGCTTTTTATATTCGGCGTGATTCGGCTTTTTATATTCGGCGTGATTTGGATTTAATTGGTTGGCGTGGTTGTCCAGGTCAGCTTTGGTACCTAAAGAAACAAAAAAAAACTTTTATACATTTATCCTTATCGGAATCAACTATTTATATTTTTTTTCTCTGATCTGATCGACTTTTCAGATGCCCGAAAGTTTGAATTTTCATGACGTTTTGCCGTTTCAAAATTTGTTTTCAAACGAAATGCGTATATTATTTGCATGCTGTTTCACTCAATTTTCGCCATCCGGGAAGTGAATATCCTTTGCTTTCAACAACAAAACAAATATTCCAAAATCATTTTGTGTGTGTAAATCAGTGTGTAAACAGCGACATAATATGAATATTCTCACCGATCATTCCCATTATTTGTCATAACAAAGACAAGAAATAAAAATAAAATGTATCCGCTTACCAGTGCCAGCATAATGTCCAAGATGATCCATTGTGAGTCTAAGAACTGAAAAGAAAAAATGAGCTCTATTTAACATTCTGAATTTTTAATAAATTTATCCCGGGAATATTATTACTGGATTTTTTTAGCCCCCCCCCCCCCCCCGCCAAAAGAAAGGAAAATCTAGAAATTATTAACAATATCGATAAGACAATTCTATCAATATAACTCGTAAGATATATGTCACAAGTTTTTGTAGTTACGAAGCCCTACATGTAAGAACTGCTCTGAAAATCTCCTTTTTCTTTTGGATGGGGTGGGGGGCAGCGCTGAAATGAAAGGGGGACTATCCAAGAAAAGTTTTCCTGTAATTCCGGTACGGTGGGAGATATTTGGGGGTATATCTCTACAAGAAAATGTATACCAATTAACAGACCGCAAACGTTTTTTCGTGATATTCCGAGCCATGAATACACTGACTAAGAAATTAGCCTAAGCTTATTTACGTGGCGCAATGCAAAGTGGCTTCTGACCAAAGAGACATGGGATTATGTATTGCTGACTGATAGGCAAGAACGTTTCTTGTCCTTTACTCGTATGCCCGAAAAATCTGATCGGGCAGCTGGTACGCCGATGTATGTAAACGAAAACAACTGTAGACCAGAACAACGATAGGACCCCTGTCCAATTCATTCATGAGTATGACACAAATGCTTGATTTATGACCCAAAGCTATACTGTAGACAACCCTAACCCTAGTCTTAAAAGACGGCATGACAATTTACCAAATACTACCATAGAAGCCCTAGTAAAATCAAATTGAATCGAACCAGTCAATTAATCTTACCTATTTTTGTTAACTCTGTGTATCCGGTTTTATTTCTATCTGTTTCTTTTTCGTCAATCAATTCACACTGATTACCACTGTAAATCAAATTGCTATAAATCTTCACGGTCTGTCTTGTTATACTGGTTTAGTGGGAACGGACGCCTTCCTTATATAGCCTGAATACGCGTCCTTGTGTAATTTTCCAGGTATTTCGTTAACTTTAGAAAACGAAAGTAGAAATTGCAAACCTAACTCTTTGTGTAATTTTCCAGGTATTTCGTTAACTTTAGAAAACGAAAGTAGAAATTGCAAACCTAACTCTTTGGTTGTTTTTCGAAAATTACAACCTGGGTCCTGTTTCACAAAAACTTAAATCTCCTTAAAATCGTCTTAAACTAAAATTCCATCCTAACTTAAGATAGATGCGTTTCACAAAACCATTTTAAGCATTTTAGATAAAATCCACTAAAATAGTGGCGTTTCACAAATCTATTTTAGGGACAATTTTAACTAAAATCAATTTTAACTTAGGACAGCCGTCACCCTCTCCTAACTTAAAATCACGACATTAAGAAACATTGATCAGAGCTACGTTGTGGGATCTATTGCGACATATGGATATATTTGGAATAATGATAATATTGCCAATGGCCCGAGTTGCATAATTTAAACATACTATTATTCACAAAAATAATTTTCATTAATTTTTTTTCATTGTAAGGCAATATAAGCAATTAGTTAAAAACTGGCGTTTTCCAATCAAAACCGGCGGCTATTTTGGATTTTTGCCAATTTGACCCATTTGGGCATGGATTTCGGACTGGGACTTTTTTTGGTGATAATATACGTCTAGACCGACCATAAAACGTGGTCGGCATTTCTATTGCAGCAACTGCTCGAAATGGTGCGAAATTGAGTTAAAATGCCTGGACTATAGGAGCCAAGAGTATTTTATGTTGGAAAAATCATTTTAATTTAGTAAGATAGATAGGCATTATCCAATAAGGAGTGTGGCACTTTGGCATTTTCAAATTATTATTGAAAGGGTCAATGGGACTGACATTTCAAATCTATGCATCTCCGGAACATTGGTTATTTCGTGTATTAGTTTAAAAGTTATTAAATACTTTTAAAAATCGACAATAGTTTAGTCTAGATTAATCGTTTGAGTCAGAAATATCACATGTTTGTGACAATTACTGTTATCCAAAATACCATAAAACTACGAAATTCAAGCGATTTAGTTTATCGATGAGCATTATTTTCATTGAAGCCTGCGAGTAAATCAAATGCCAAGGTCACGAAAGCGACATGCAAGTTCAAGGCCAACCAACTGATACATTTCAAAACAAAAAAAATACACGCAATAAATAGAGGATATTTGTCGTTTTAGAGTGAATAACATATTTTATTTCATCGAGAAGCAAGAAAACTTATATTTTCACGAATACGTAGCATGAGTGAAAATATAAACGTTTTCTTGCTTAGAGATGAAATAAAATATGTTATTCACGACAAATGTTCTATTTATTTTATGATTTTACAATCATTTTAGGTAAAAACAACATGGACTACTGCTAGCCAGTGGAATAACACTTTTATTTCACTGATAAAACGTGGTATTCCACTACTGATCATAAAATAAACTTATTTATTTCATTTCTCTACGATTGACTGACCATGTGCAGACATTGTTACAACGTATGAAACCCTCCTCATTGGTATTGTAACGGTTAGTTCAACCTGGCAATAGATTTCAGTTCCGAAGCGTGTACGCTCACACCCTATGTGCCCTCACCGGAATTGTGCACTGCGCGACCGCAAGCAATTTTAACGAAAATCTATTAAAATTGCATTTTAAGTTACATAGATCTTCGTGAAACGCTTAAAATTTAAAATTTCAGTTTGATTTTAGTTAAAATCTATTTTAGTGATTTTAGTTTAAGTTTTCGTGAAACAGGGCCCTGTCTATTTGGATTATCCCGCAGTCAAATCTCACTTCACTGTTTTTGGTTCAAATATATCATCAAATCACACAGCTGGTACGTGGGAAGCCACCTTTAATAGAAATCAGTAATATCCTTACGCATCAATATACATGTAGTTTCTAAGAAATGACTTTCACATTTTGATTTCTAAAATCCAATTATCTAGTGCACATCTGTCACATCGGATGTGACCGAGTCCACTGTAGTTTCTAAGAAATGACTTTCACATTTGATTTCTAAAATCCAATTATCTAGTGCAAAAAAAACTGAGGTCCCGTGTACACATTGGCGTACGCGTAAAATCCCAAGGTCTGTCATTGATTCAAGTGGCTTGGTTTCGTTTCCCAGCTTAGACGTGACAAATAGTGGGTTTTCTCCGGGTTCCTCCCACTTCTGAAGACCCCTACGCGCAAGCGAATTATTGTAATATAATTGAACCATGTGTTAGTCCCGAAATGACTTGGTTTGTGCCGAGTGGACATCACCACCCCCCCTCTCTCTCTCTCTTTCTCTCCTTCTCTCTCTCTCTCATAAGGTGAATGAAAGTAAGAAAAACTGGAAACGATGTCCCCGTTAGTCCGTGTAACCCTCAAGTACCAATAGAGACAGACAACTGATACAAATCTATATTTACATTTAATAGGCATATAAATTATGGCCAACAAATAAAATACAGGGATTTAGAATAGTTGGGTTCTGTCTGACCTTGTTGTTTTTGAGTACGAGGGTTTGCTGAAAAACAAAACATTAAATTTCATAAGATAAATTAAGTTTTAATAATTTCAAAAGTCCACTTGGTTCAGTTTTATGTCCTTCAGATTTTTGCTTGTGTTGTAATGATATGACTATTGAGAGGGTTACAGATTGATATAGATATTCGCACATTTTTATTTTGGCGAAAAGCAGTTTTATTCAAGTTGACATAAAGTTCATGTAATACTATGATTGTTATTGATTTTTGACAACCTTAGAGTACGGAAGCTCAAATACCAACTACTTTTTGTTTTTCGATTTCCTATTTCTATTTTTAATTTTTTATTTTGAAAAATAATTTCTAATTTCTTTTTTTTTAGTTTTAGATTTTGTAGAATAATTTTTAATTTTGTAGAATAATTTTTAATTTTGTAAATTAATTTTTAATTTTGTAAATTAATTTTAATTTTGTAAATTAATTTTTAATTTTGTAAATTAATTTTTAATTTTGTAAATTAATTTTTAATTTTGTAAATTAATTTTTAATTTTGTAAATTAATTTTTAATTTTGTAAATTAATTTTGAATTTTGTAAATTAATTTTGAATTTTGTAAATGAATTTTGTAAATTAATTTTGAATTTTATAAATTAATTTTGAATTTTGTAAATTAATTTTTAATTTTGTAAATTAATTTTGAATTTTGTAAATTAATTTTGTAAATCAATTTTTAATTTTGTAAATCAATTTTTAATTTTGTAAATCAATTTTTAATTTTGTAAACTAATTTTTAATTTTGTAAATTAAATTTTAATTTTGTAAATTAATTTTTAATTTTTTTTTTTTTTTACCTCATTCGAACGACCATACCACTGACAAGTGGACATGCGCATACTAGGCGGGAATGCGAGGGAGCGGATGGTCGAGATTGTGACAAAGCGAGTGTGCGAGAAGTCGAGAAATACTCAAAGGCGAGAACGCGAGGGGGCGAGAAGTCGAGATTTTATAAAGGCGAGAACGCGAGTGAGCGAGAAGTCGAGGAGTCGAGGGTGAAAGTGCGAGAACACGAGGGGGCGAAATAATCTGGTGTTCTCGGGGCGAGATCCTCGCATCCTCGCCCTGTTTCCTCCCACTCTCACCTTCGACTTCTCGCTCTCTCGACTTATCGCCCTCGGCTTCTTGCCCTGGACTTCTCGACTTTCCGCGGCGAGAAGTCGTAATTATGAAATGGCCGCAATAAGCTTCCAAATAAGTATTAATGAGAGGATCCCACAAAGTAGACTTAAATATTGGATCGTTGTCGTAACGTGGTGCTATCATCGTCTTAGCATCTTTCTGTAAGACACAAAAATACATAATTTTGCTAGCACTATGGTAGGTGTCATTATATCGTACAGGAATGAATTAAAGAATTGGATTTTAACGTTCTACTTTTCTGCACCAGTCGAACTAATGAGCACGTGATCATACGGGAAGCTGAATACATAACTATAAATAAAGCCGATACAGAAGAAATATATGTCGATTAATTAATTGTTGTTTTTTTTTCAAAGTAATGAAGGAAACATTTTGCTTACCAAAGTAAATTATATTTGATATTAATCTCGAAATATAGCGTGTTTTTTCAGTCATGGCCGAGGTGTCTAATTCGCATATTCTATATTATGTAATATATTCTTCAAAAAAAGTAGGGGGTATTGAAATGCAAATACCTATGCCGGTTGTGATATGATAAATAGTCATGGACACTTGACATGCTTTGAGAGTATCTTCACAGATGAAGAACTTACTTATCGCCCCAACAGAACCAATGAGCTGCATGTGCGACACCCAATAGCGCCATACACGTGTGTACGTTTAATTTGATCGACAGACGTGTTCGTCGACGTCAACGTCAACCGACAGCACTGCGAGAATTGGACGTGACACTGCAATAGGAGTGGGTCAGATTGTCCCAAATCGTGATTGGACGGTTGATTAGGAGCGTGCCAAGACGAATTGCTGAATGTCTGGGGATTGGTGGAGCAATTTCTCATTATTAAGACAAAAATCAAAAATGGGGCCATCAGATAAGCTGCCCATATGAACTGTTTATGTTCATGTGTAGGCAATTGGCCTGTTATTAACATACACGGTTACCTCTAATAAACCAGCAGTGTATTTCCGCAGTTTTGTATTGTTTCTGAATATCCCCTACTTTATTTGAAGGATATATAACTCTACTGTTCTCCTAGTGTTGGCACCCCTGGCCTTGAAATTATGGGTGTAGGTACTGATGGCGACTGTTAATTTGCATATCGTGCATTATGTAATAATGAAATGCATACCACCAAAAGAAATTCTGTTGCAATTTGTTTTGGGTTGGGCCCTTTTTTTCAGATAGATTGGCTGGACTATAAGGCGGTAAGACGATGATAACACCCCGTTACGACAACAATCATACGATATCATCCAAATCTATTTTGCCGTATGATCTCCCTAATACTGTCTTGATGATGTGTTATGAAAAGGGCGAAAATTACATGGCCAATAACAGCTACCATAGCATTTGAGAAAATCTGCGTTAAAAAATCGTGAGTAGAAAATCTGAAGTAGAAAGTCGAAAGTAAAATGTTACCAGTAGAGAGGAGAAAGCAGAAAGTCAAAAGTTGATAGTAGAAAATAGATGTTCTTTCCATCAAAGTAGAATTCTGACGATTTAAAGTTGAAAAGCTTGATGACTTTGTTATAGGTTTCCACCATTAAAATACCCTTTTAGATAAGAGTTTTCTCTTTTACTTTTAATTTTCTATCTACTTTTGACTTTAGATTTTCTACTTTTTACTCTAGAGATCGCATTTTGAACCCGATACCCGCCATAGTAGCGGAATGGAAGAATGATGACAGACGGGTGGGGATGACGACTATAAAAGACACAGTGTGTATCAAAGGTGTACTGCAAATAAATTAACAATAGGTTATGTTTTAGTGTTTATTATACAATTTAACTATACAATTCAATATATGTTCATCAATATAATATTATGGACACTAAAACTTTTTAATTTAATCAACTCAGTTGATTATTTTTTCGGTCCCTTGTATTCGGGGTTATTTGGATTTAATTGGTCGCCGTGGTTGTCCCGATCAGCTTGGGTACCTAAAGAAACAAAACAAAGATTGATATACTCTTATCCTTATCGGAATCAACTATTTATTTTTTCTCTGATCTGGTAGATTTTCAAATGCCTGAAGGTTTGAATTTTTATGACGTTTTGCCGTTTCTAAAATTGTTTTCAAACGAAAAGCGAATATTTGCATACTGTTTCACTCAATTTATGCCACCCGGGTGGCGAATATCCTCTGCCTTCTACAACAAAACAAATATTCCAAAATCATTTTGTGTGTGGAAATCAGTACGTAATCGGCGACATAGTGTGAATATTCTCACCGATTATTCCCATTATTTATCATAACAAAGACCAGAAATAAAAATAAAATGTATCCATCTTACCATCGCCACCATACTTTCCACAATAACCCTCATACTTGGGATTGTTTGGATTACACTGGCCGGCTTTGTTATCATTATTGGCTTTGTCTTGCTGATTCATTGTGAGTCTAAGAATTAAAAGGAAAAAAACGGTCAATTTAACATGCTGAATTTTTATAAATTTACCCCGGGAACATTATCACTGGATTTATTTACCCCCCACCCCAACCCCCAAAGACAAGAAATTGAATCCATTGACAATGTCGACAAGACAATCCTATCAATTTCATTTGTACTCATCCATAAGATGTATATGATGTCACAAGTTTTGTAGTTACAGGGCCCTACAGATAAGAGCCCCTCTGAATATCTTTTGGGGAGGGGTGGGGCGCTGAAATGAACATTAGTTGCGTTTTCCTGTAATTTTGGCCCGACGGCAGATACTTGGGGGCATATGGCCCGAAGAAAATGTATACCAATATAGCTTTATTTATGTCGCGCAATGCAAAGTGGCTTCAGACATAAAAGTCATTGGATTATAATACATTGCTGACTGAAGGCAAGAACTTTTTTTTTCTTTACTCGTTTGCCCGAAAATTCTGATTGCCCGATTGCGAGAGGTTGTTTTTGTAATTTTTTTTTTTTTTGTGGTGGGGTGGGTTGGGTTGGGCTGGTACGCCGATGTGTGTAAAGGAAAACAGTACTGTACACCAGAACAACGGCGGGTGTCCAGTTGATCAATAAGTATGACATATGTCTTATGTACATATGTAATATATATGTAACTGGCTTAGCGGGACCTGACGCCTTCCTTATATAGCCTGAATACGCGTCCTTGGGTAATTTTCCAGACATTTCATAGTGTGCGCATCAAAATAATTTCCAAGAAATGACTTTCACTTTTGATTTCTGTAAAATCTATTGGACTAGTGTCAAAACTGCACATTTCTGAGTATTATGTACAGTTCTCGGAAACTTATATCCGGTGTTGTTTGCACGAAACGCATTGTATTTAGAACGTAGTGAGGGTACTGAGACGTGACATATATTTCTGGGAATTTCTTGAACACCACTAAGTGCAACAGTTGGTATGAGTACTGGTGTACAGTACTGTTTTCCTTTACACACATCGGCGTACCAGCCCAACCCAACCCACCCCACCACAAAAAAAAAAAAAATTACAAAAACAACCTCTCGCAATCGGGCAATCAGAATTTTCGGGCAAACGAGTAAAGAAAAAAAAAGTTCTTGCCTTCAGTCAGCAATGTATTATAATCCAATGACTTTTATGTCTGAAGCCACTTTGCATTGCGCGACATAAATAAAGCTATATTGGTATACATTTTCTTCGGGCCATATGCCCCCAAGTATCTGCCGTCGGGCCAAAATTACAGGAAAACGCAACTAATGTTCATTTCAGCGCCCCACCCCTCCCCAAAAGATATTCAGAGGGGCTCTTATCTGTAGGGCCCTGTAACTACAAAACTTGTGACATCATATACATCTTATGGATGAGTACAAATGAAATTGATAGGATTGTCTTGTCGACATTGTCAATGGATTCAATTTCTTGTCTTTGGGGGTTGGGGTGGGGGGTAAATAAATCCAGTGATAATGTTCCCGGGGTAAATTTATAAAAATTCAGCATGTTAAATTGACCGTTTTTTTCCTTTTAATTCTTAGACTCACAATGAATCAGCAAGACAAAGCCAATAATGATAACAAAGCCGGCCAGTGTAATCCAAACAATCCCAAGTATGAGGGTTATTGTGGAAAGTATGGTGGCGATGGTAAGATGGATACATTTTATTTTTATTTCTGGTCTTTGTTATGATAAATAATGGGAATAATCGGTGAGAATATTCACACTATGTCGCCGATTACGTACTGATTTCCACACACAAAATGATTTTGGAATATTTGTTTTGTTGTAGAAGGCAGAGGATATTCGCCACCCGGGTGGCATAAATTGAGTGAAACAGTATGCAAATATTCGCTTTTCGTTTGAAAACAATTTTAGAAACGGCAAAACGTCATAAAAATTCAAACCTTCAGGCATTTGAAAATCTACCAGATCAGAGAAAAAATAAATAGTTGATTCCGATAAGGATAAGAGTATATCAATCTTTGTTTTGTTTCTTTAGGTACCCAAGCTGATCGGGACAACCACGGCGACCAATTAAATCCAAATAACCCCGAATACAAGGGACCGAAAAAATAATCAACTGAGTTGATTAAATTAAAAAGTTTTAGTGTCCATAATATTATATTGATGAACATATATTGAATTGTATAGTTAAATTGTATAATAAACACTAAAACATAACCTATTGTTAATTTATTTGCAGTACACCTTTGATACACACTGTGTCTTTTATAGTCGTCATCCCCACCCGTCTGTCATCATTCTTCCATTCCGCTACTATGGCGGGTATCGGGTTCAAAATGCGATCTCTAGAGTAAAAAGTAGAAAATCTAAAGTCAAAAGTAGATAGAAAATTAAAAGTAAAAGAGAAAACTCTTATCTAAAAGGGTATTTTAATGGTGGAAACCTATAACAAAGTCATCAAGCTTTTCAACTTTAAATCGTCAGAATTCTACTTTGATGGAAAGAACATCTATTTTCTACTATCAACTTTTGACTTTCTGCTTTCTCCTCTCTACTGGTAACATTTTACTTTCGACTTTCTACTTCAGATTTTCTACTCACGATTTTTTAACGCAGATTTTCTCAAATGCTATGGTAGCTGTTATTGGCCATGTAATTTTCGCCCTTTTCATAACACATCATCAAGACAGTATTAGGGAGATCATACGGCAAAATAGATTTGGATGATATCGTATGATTGTTGTCGTAACGGGGTGTTATCATCGTCTTACCGCCTTATAGTCCAGCCAATCTATCTGAAAAAAAGGGCCCAACCCAAAACAAATTGCAACAGAATTTCTTTTGGTGGTATGCATTTCATTATTACATAATGCACGATATGCAAATTAACAGTCGCCATCAGTACCTACACCCATAATTTCAAGGCCAGGGGTGCCAACACTAGGAGAACAGTAGAGTTATATATCCTTCAAATAAAGTAGGGGATATTCAGAAACAATACAAAACTGCGGAAATACACTGCTGGTTTATTAGAGGTAACCGTGTATGTTAATAACAGGCCAATTGCCTACACATGAACATAAACAGTTCATATGGGCAGCTTATCTGATGGCCCCATTTTTGATTTTTGTCTTAATAATGAGAAATTGCTCCACCAATCCCCAGACATTCAGCAATTCGTCTTGGCACGCTCCTAATCAACCGTCCAATCACGATTTGGGACAATCTGACCCACTCCTATTGCAGTGTCACGTCCAATTCTCGCAGTGCTGTCGGTTGACGTTGACGTCGACGAACACGTCTGTCGATCAAATTAAACGTACACACGTGTATGGCGCTATTGGGTGTCGCACATGCAGCTCATTGGTTCTGTTGGGGCGATAAGTAAGTTCTTCATCTGTGAAGATACTCTCAAAGCATGTCAAGTGTCCATGACTATTTATCATATCACAACCGGCATAGGTATTTGCATTTCAATACCCCCTACTTTTTTTGAAGAATATATTACATAATATAGAATATGCGAATTAGACACCTCGGCCATGACTGAAAAAACACGCTATATTTCGAGATTAATATCAAATATAATTTACTTTGGTAAGCAAAATGTTTCCTTCATTACTTTGAAAAAAAAACAACAATTAATTAATCGACATATATTTCTTCTGTATCGGCTTTATTTATAGTTATGTATTCAGCTTCCCGTATGATCACGTGCTCATTAGTTCGACTGGTGCAGAAAAGTAGAACGTTAAAATCCAATTCTTTAATTCATTCCTGTACGATATAATGACACCTACCATAGTGCTAGCAAAATTATGTATTTTTGTGTCTTACAGAAAGATGCTAAGACGATGATAGCACCACGTTACGACAACGATCCAATATTTAAGTCTACTTTGTGGGATCCTCTCATTAATACTTATTTGGAAGCTTATTGCGGCCATTTCATAATTACGACTTCTCGCCGCGGAAAGTCGAGAAGTCCAGGGCAAGAAGCCGAGGGCGATAAGTCGAGAGAGCGAGAAGTCGAAGGTGAGAGTGGGAGGAAACAGGGCGAGGATGCGAGGATCTCGCCCCGAGAACACCAGATTATTTCGCCCCCTCGTGTTCTCGCACTTTCACCCTCGACTCCTCGACTTCTCGCTCACTCGCGTTCTCGCCTTTATAAAATCTCGACTTCTCGCCCCCTCGCGTTCTCGCCTTTGAGTATTTCTCGACTTCTCGCACACTCGCTTTGTCACAATCTCGACCATCCGCTCCCTCGCATTCCCGCCTAGTATGCGCATGTCCACTTGTCAGTGGTATGGTCGTTCGAATGAGGTAAAAAAAAAAAAAAATTAAAAATTAATTTACAAAATTAAAATTTAATTTACAAAATTAAAAATTAGTTTACAAAATTAAAAATTGATTTACAAAATTAAAAATTGATTTACAAAATTAAAAATTGATTTACAAAATTAAAAATTGATTTACAAAATTAATTTACAAAATTCAAAATTAATTTACAAAATTAAAAATTAATTTACAAAATTCAAAATTAATTTATAAAATTCAAAATTAATTTACAAAATTCATTTACAAAATTCAAAATTAATTTACAAAATTCAAAATTAATTTACAAAATTAAAAATTAATTTACAAAATTCAAAATTAATTTACAAAATTAAAAATTAATTTACAAAATTAAAAATTAATTTACAAAATTAAAAATTAATTTACAAAATTAAAATTAATTTACAAAATTAAAAATTAATTTACAAAATTAAAAATTATTCTACAAAATTAAAAATTATTCTACAAAATCTAAAACTAAAAAAAAAGAAATTAGAAATTATTTTTCAAAATAAAAAATTAAAAATAGAAATAGGAAATCGAAAAACAAAAAGTAGTTGGTATTTGAGCTTCCGTACTCTAAGGTTGTCAAAAATCAATAACAATCATAGTATTACATGAACTTTATGTCAACTTGAATAAAACTGCTTTTCGCCAAAATAAAAATGTGCGAATATCTATATCAATCTGTAACCCTCTCAATAGTCATATCATTACAACACAAGCAAAAATCTGAAGGACATAAAACTGAACCAAGTGGACTTTTGAAATTATTAAAACTTAATTTATCTTATGAAATTTAATGTTTTGTTTTTCAGCAAACCCTCGTACTCAAAAACAACAAGGTCAGACAGAACCCAACTATTCTAAATCCCTGTATTTTATTTGTTGGCCATAATTTATATGCCTATTAAATGTAAATATAGATTTGTATCAGTTGTCTGTCTCTATTGGTACTTGAGGGTTACACGGACTAACGGGGACATCGTTTCCAGTTTTTCTTACTTTCATTCACCTTATGAGAGAGAGAGAGAAGGAGAGAAAGAGAGAGAGAGAGGGGGGGTGGTGATGTCCACTCGGCACAAACCAAGTCATTTCGGGACTAACACATGGTTCAATTATATTACAATAATTCGCTTGCGCGTAGGGGTCTTCAGAAGTGGGAGGAACCCGGAGAAAACCCACTATTTGTCACGTCTAAGCTGGGAAACGAAACCAAGCCACTTGAATCAATGACAGACCTTGGGATTTTACGCGTACGCCAATGTGTACACGGGACCTCAGTTTTTTTTGCACTAGATAATTGGATTTTAGAAATCAAATGTGAAAGTCATTTCTTAGAAACTACAGTGGACTCGGTCACATCCGATGTGACAGATGTGCACTAGATAATTGGATTTTAGAAATCAAAATGTGAAAGTCATTTCTTAGAAACTACATGTATATTGATGCGTAAGGATATTACTGATTTCTATTAAAGGTGGCTTCCCACGTACCAGCTGTGTGATTTGATGATATATTTGAACCAAAAACAGTGAAGTGAGATTTGACTGCGGGATAATCCAAATAGACAGGGCCCTGTTTCACGAAAACTTAAACTAAAATCACTAAAATAGATTTTAACTAAAATCAAACTGAAATTTTAAATTTTAAGCGTTTCACGAAGATCTATGTAACTTAAAATGCAATTTTAATAGATTTTCGTTAAAATTGCTTGCGGTCGCGCAGTGCACAATTCCGGTGAGGGCACATAGGGTGTGAGCGTACACGCTTCGGAACTGAAATCTATTGCCAGGTTGAACTAACCGTTACAATACCAATGAGGAGGGTTTCATACGTTGTAACAATGTCTGCACATGGTCAGTCAATCGTAGAGAAATGAAATAAATAAGTTTATTTTATGATCAGTAGTGGAATACCACGTTTTATCAGTGAAATAAAAGTGTTATTCCACTGGCTAGCAGTAGTCCATGTTGTTTTTACCTAAAATGATTGTAAAATCATAAAATAAATAGAACATTTGTCGTGAATAACATATTTTATTTCATCTCTAAGCAAGAAAACGTTTATATTTTCACTCATGCTACGTATTCGTGAAAATATAAGTTTTCTTGCTTCTCGATGAAATAAAATATGTTATTCACTCTAAAACGACAAATATCCTCTATTTATTGCGTGTATTTTTTTTGTTTTGAAATGTATCAGTTGGTTGGCCTTGAACTTGCATGTCGCTTTCGTGACCTTGGCATTTGATTTACTCGCAGGCTTCAATGAAAATAATGCTCATCGATAAACTAAATCGCTTGAATTTCGTAGTTTTATGGTATTTTGGATAACAGTAATTGTCACAAACATGTGATATTTCTGACTCAAACGATTAATCTAGACTAAACTATTGTCGATTTTTAAAAGTATTTAATAACTTTTAAACTAATACACGAAATAACCAATGTTCCGGAGATGCATAGATTTGAAATGTCAGTCCCATTGACCCTTTCAATAATAATTTGAAAATGCCAAAGTGCCACACTCCTTATTGGATAATGCCTATCTATCTTACTAAATTAAAATGATTTTTCCAACATAAAATACTCTTGGCTCCTATAGTCCAGGCATTTTAACTCAATTTCGCACCATTTCGAGCAGTTGCTGCAATAGAAATGCCGACCACGTTTTATGGTCGGTCTAGACGTATATTATCACCAAAAAAAGTCCCAGTCCGAAATCCATGCCCAAATGGGTCAAATTGGCAAAAATCCAAAATAGCCGCCGGTTTTGATTGGAAAACGCCAGTTTTTAACTAATTGCTTATATTGCCTTACAATGAAAAAAAATTAATGAAAATTATTTTTGTGAATAATAGTATGTTTAAATTATGCAAC